AGACACCTCACTCACCTGGGGCCCAGGAGATACAGCACTGAGACACCTCACTCACCTGGGGTCCAGGAGACTCAGCGCTGAGATACCTCACTCACCTGGGTCCAGGAGACACAGCGCTGAGACACCTCAGTCCAGGGTGTAGGCAGGAGGCCTCGGCTGAGACGGGTGGTGTTTGGGACTTAGCAGGAACAGGCACAACCTGACTCTCATCCAGGAGTGAAGCTTGGAGGCTTGATGCAGGGGTGTGCGGGTGATGTGAGGTGCTCCAGAGCACAAAGTCTGCCCGGCCATGGTGGCAGGATCCCCAGACATGAGCAGACTCAGACCTCTGAAGGCGGAGCACCTGGGTCTCCATGTGTGGGTGGCAGGAGACCAGAGAAGGGTTCAGACAACAGGAGGGTGAGCGGGTAGCATGGGGGCGCCATCGGGTGGGGCTGGCCATCCTCAGTGAGGTCAGGAGGGCTGGGGCACAGGAGAGGCCGGGACCCACAGACCAGCTGCTGGCTCACGAGGCAACCTCAGTCACTGCCTGATGTGAAGGTGTCACAGTTCATTTCATAAACACACCATAATGATTGTTAATATCTGACAAGGTGTCCTTAATTTCTCCTAAAATTGGTCATCAACAGCCGTGTACCCCTTTATGCTTTCCTTTCAGTCTCAGGACCAGGGGACAGTTTAACGCGTTTTCGTATCATTTCCGAGGCAGACAGTCTCTTGAATTCAGCTACCAGGAGGACAAGCCCACCAAGAAAATGAGACCAGGGGAAATACTGAGGGTCGGCTGTCTCTGGGGTACACTGCGTGGAGAGCGGCCCTCCCGTCGTGGGCATCATGGATAGGGCCACTGTTCGTTGTCATGGATGGTGTTCCCTGCACGTCCACAGGTCTGTGTGTCCAGCAGGGACATCCTTGGACACGGGGGATGGGAGGACAGGCTGCGCCCTGCCTCCTGCCTAGCTACAGCCCCTCTGCAAGCTCAGAGCGTCCGTCCCTGGAGAAGGGGCACATGGTCAGTAAACGTCCGTTTGAACCTGCATAAACTGGCACCAGTGGTGAGCTGCTGAGGTTGGACTTCACTGCTGCCTCTTTTTTTCCCTTCCTTCTACAGTGTCGTGAACCACAGCCAACATTCCAGCAATGCCACGTCAGCCGCCTATGAGCGCTCAAAAGGACCAGGGACAACTGACTTCAAAAAATTTTTTCTGGAAATGCAAAAGACCATCACAGACCTCAGAAAACAGGTAGTGGTGGCCTTGGCCACCCGACACCTCTACCTCCAGCAAACATTTTCGACAGTGCACGTCCTTCCTGCACGTTTCATTACTCAGGTGCCCGTGAAGGTGTGGGTTCTGCCCAGCAGCACAGGGCCTGGTCCTGGAGCCTCTGGGACACCATTTCTGCCTGCTTTGCTATCCTTTCAGCTCACCTCAGCTGGACCACCGTGAGCTGAATCCTCAGCTTCCCAGTGGGTCGGGACACCCGGGCAGTAGGTAACTGGTATCTCTGGCCACAGGGCTGCCAGCCAGGTGACATGGTGGGAACGGACACAATGTCATAGAAAACTCAGGATTAGGGCATTGTGGCAGAATTCACTGAATTCTTTTTTTGTTTGTTTTTGTTTTTGGCATCTGGCCAGTAGGGGTCCAAATGAAGTCCTGTCCTTAAGCCACTGTTCAGGAATAACTTAAATGAGTATCCCCAGGGAGGGTAAGGAGGGTTTCGAGGCCGATACTCCACGTGTTTGGTCAGGTCTCTCTGGGTGTGAGGAAGGTCCTGGCGTCTGCGTTGCAGGACAGCAGGGATTTTCAAATTGGGTTCCGCACAGAGGTTTTGTAAAAGATGAATTATATACTCCACGTGTTTGGTCAGGTCTCTCTGGGTGTGAGGAAGGTCCTGGCGTCTGCATTGCAGGACAGCAGGGATTTTCAAATTGGGTTCCGCACAGAGGTTTTGTAAAAGATGAATTATCTCCGCTCTCTTTGCCCAGAAACTTATTTCTACCTTTTCTAGTCACTGTACTGAGGTTATCGGTGTGGTTTTATTTCAAAGGGGTGGAGATTGAGATCTAAGGCTAGAGAATAGGGAGTGTGCTCACCCGTGGTGGTGGTGATAGGAGTCCCCCGGGTGCACATGGAATGGTGGCCCGTGGTACTTTGGGTTTGTAAGTTCAGCTCCTCTCCTGGCCACAGGATCCTCAGGCCCTAGGTTTGGGAGAGATTTTGGATTTCTTCTAGTGTAGCCCAAAGTGATCTTGCAGCTGAAGAGGAGGTGTGCTGGCTGCTTCCACGCCTGATCTCGCCTGTCCTACAGGTTCAGGTCCACCTGCCTCCGCCATCTGGAGCCAGGACCGTGTGGCACTGCCTTGCCCAGCCTCTCCTGGTGCTGTGCTGGCGCCATCCAGAGAGAAGCAGGGACAACCCCAGACAGACCCTCAGAGGCTATGATGGGTGCAAGTGTCCTGGTCACCTCATGGCCTGAGGATTTCCAGCTACTGTCACCCTGTCTGCATCTCCCCAGTGAGATGCAGGGAAGCCTATGGGAAGGGGGCTTCCTCACAGTGTGCTCTCCTGGTGTGTGCTCCCCTGGGGTGTGCTCCCTTGGGGCATGCTCCTCGAGCTGTGCTCCCACAGGGTGTGCTTCTCAGGGTGTGCTCCTCAAGGTGTGCTCCTCGGTGTGTGTTCGCCCGGGGTGCGCTCCTTGGGGTGTGCTCCTCAGGGTGTGCTCCCCAGTGCGGGCTCCCTTGGGGAAGACTCGCAAGTGGCTCCTGCACCTGCCCTCACATCCCACTGGGAGCCACCTGGCCTGAGGGAAGTTTGGAAAGATAGTCCTTATTCGGGGATCGGTTACCTCCAGATAAAAACCAGTGATTTTATTACCCAAAAAAAGGGGGAATAAATAAAAGACTTGATATTGGGATTATTAGTCATAATCACTCGTTCATTTGAAAATGTAAGTACGGGAGGTTTTGTCATCTGACTGACGCTTGCTCTCAAA